TCTTTTCTTTTTCTCAGCGTGTAATTTTGCGACATGCACGGGCATACAATGTCCCGATGTCTGTATTCCCGTACATTCCATCTCCTTTTTACCAAGACTCTCTCTTCCTTCTCGCAGTCACCGTGATTTCCATGACGGCCCTCTGGTCCACCCTGGAACCATCGGCTCAGGCCGCGCGTGCTGTACTCTGTATTACCAGCAAGTATTCGCAACTCCATCTGGTAGTGCCAAGCCAGCGCAGCCGAAATAGTAAAAGGTACCTATCAGTACCAATCCGTAATAAGCTTCAATAAACTTGATCCTTATAATCCGCTCTTCTCCGGGCGCAGTTCCAGGGCAACTCGTTGCTCCAAATATACCACCCCCCCTCTCTCAAACAAGGTTCGCCGGGGGCGCTGGGATTGCCCGGCGGTACCGCAGCGTCAACTAGTCATCTCTGCTAGGCCTAGATGGGTACTTTATGCGACTATCCGGCATGTCAGGCATTGCTTCTTCATTCTCTTTCTTATGCCTCATCAGAATCATCACTGACACAGTTTGGTTATTATAGTGGTCAACTTGGCTTTGCCTCACAATTACCCAGTGATTGTCGTGTGGATAAAGTAGTTATCGTGGTCTTGACTCTGCCTCCTTAATTATTATTGCAACATTTATGACTGTTGAAATGTTGATAGTCCCGCCTCGTTTAACTGGTGGACCTCACTTTGCCTGATTCACTGCCCACAGCCTCTGTTGCATTGTAACGGATGGCCTGGTGCTTGGCCATTGTCCTACAATCTACGAAGAAATCATTAGTCAACAAATCTTCATCACATATGATTTGCGCCAATACAACATGTCCATCCCGACACGGAAATTTCGTCGTCCATTCTTTTAATTTTAAAATCATATACGTAATCATCGTATTCTTCACCTCGTCTACCCTTGACCTGCCAGCTGCCCGTTGTTGCCTATTTCCATCTTACAAACAGCACACCAGTAAACAAACATTGACCCATGGCTTGCCAGCTCCTTGATGATTATTCATTCCGCTCTGCTCTGCTCTGCGCGCACATGCACACCCGTATCCAGAGACCATCTATGCCTAGCTCTAATACCCCGTACCGCTAGATGTGCGCTGCTCATCGATGCCCAGTACTGGCCATCTGCCTGCCACGCGCTCCCTTCTCGCCGAGTCACCCCCCAAAAAGGGTAGCCGTGCCCTGTAGCGTCCATGCCGTACCAACAACATGTAATTCTAACCCCGCCTACTCAGTTCTCGGAGAATGAAATCGGCATCGGATTAGTATTGACTTCCTTTGCTTTTCCCATTCCGATGTAAAGCATTCTACACTAAAAAGTACAAGTTCCGTTGCCGTTCGGCTATCCGATTCCTCCTGCCGAGCTTCGCTTGCGAGGTGGTGTGTCACAACAAACACCTGCATCGCCTCATCAGTCAATCACCTTGTTGGCCGAACGACAATTAATGCATGCGATTCGGCTCTCTCCCGTCACCTCCACGAAACTCCCTTGTCACTCTGCCAAGCGGCCTGCGACGTTTTTTTTCCTTGACTGTGCCAACTGGAGAGACGAGCCAACCACGTTTGATGAAACAAGCTTCGAGCCATCGAGCTTCGTTGGCGCCGACTCCCAATAGAGGGGCGGAGAGCTACTTGAAGGTTTCCCCCGTGGTAAGCTACCACGCACAACTAGCTTGATGGTCAAGTTGACGGATTGACAAGAACGACAAGGATCAGCATGGCTTTCCGTTCTGGGTAATCCTGAAGATACTTTGTAAGTCTGTCTCGCCGTCTTTGGTCTCATTTTTTTTTCCTTTTTATGTAGCTTTTACTCTGTCAATCTGTTGTCTGGTGTCCAACTATGCACGTGTATTGCTCCTCATGCTCTACCAGATTCAGGCGTACTGGTATCCTGTACCACAGTGTCTTACTTTTTGCTCCTGCCGAGACGCCACCAAGACATGGCAGATTTCTGCTTTAACCCCCTGACGCTGCAAAAAAAGACTTGTGTGAATCTGTGTCGCGTCTGCCATCGACGGCGCCGCACCCTGTCCTTTTGCGACTTTGCTCGCATCGGTGACATTCTCTTCCATCCCCCGCCAAGACCTCTTCTCCCACGCAGTCGGGTTTCTACCATGGGCCGCTTCCATCCGTACCGAAACACAGTGACACGTTCATATTCTCGGCGAGGCCCATGCAACCTGCTCACGCATCGCACACTTGTATGTGCATCAGCACACCACCCCCTCCGCCCCCACACACACCCTTCCGCAGTGGCAGGCAAGGCAAGCAAGCAGGCAGGCAAGCAGGCAACCACCCAGAGGGAAGAAGAAAAAAAGGCGTCGGGGACCGCAAATGAAACCAAAAAACATGAGCAGTTGCCACATCGAGATGGGCTCGACCGTTTAGTCTTGCAGAGGAGGGGCAAGACACGATGGGCTAGGCTCGTTCTTTTTACCGCCCACGCCGCGCTGTAAAGAACCCTGACCACATCACTTTCGCACTTTATCTTTTTTTTTCCTTTTTTGCTTCTTGCCCATGCAGCCCAATAAAAAGAATCAAGAAGCGTATTACGAATATGATCCGGACAGCCACCCCTTACGATTCAGGGCCCGGAGTTGTCGCGGGCTGTATCGGAGATTGCCTGCGCTGCCTATGATCCGGAGTTTTGTCCCTTATTCAGTGTTGACACGCCCAAACCTCAGCTCAACTAGGTCCAGTCTGGAATGAAGCGAAATGGGCTTGGCATCCAGGCCTCGACCGGGAAGGACCGAGTGCTACTATAGCGGCCAGGCTCTCGGCACTGTCACCACCAGTACTTTTTACCTCACCCCGCGCCGTCTTAGTGTTATTGTTCTGGGCATGAAATTGCGCGTTTCGACAGCCGGGGAAAAAAAAAAAGGCCCAGTGGTAAACTTCTGGTACCGTGGCTGCCACCACGGTGAGTTTATTAACGCCAGGATCTGACGTGCATGGGGTGGTGAGGCTGCCTGCCTGCCTGCGCTGCGCTGCGCTGCACAAGTACACCATAGGCACCTACCTCATGCATGATTATCAAAGACATGGCAAAAAAGGAGAGAAAAAAAGAATTCTGGTCCCCGACACCGGAAGATACCTAGGTGGCCACTGCTCAAATGACTGGACTGCTGCGTTCTGTGGCTGACAACCAGGCAGGCTTTTTACAGCCCATCAGCACTGGGAGAGCCACTCAAATCACCATTTAGAGGTTCTAGACGGCTCTATCTTGCCAACAAGGCTGGGCACAGGAGTGCGCTCGGCGCATTTCTTGTCACAAATATTCATACTGATAGTAACGGCAGCGTGCGCGCCAAGCCGTCAAGCCGGGCGGCCTACTGTACACCCGAGGGCCGTGTTTTAGTAAAATCCCCCCGGAAATAGCGACGTGCAAGGGAGCCGACGCCGGACCCTCTACCTCTAGGCCCTGCAGTCTAGGCCCTGCAGGAGTAGGCTGTTGGTGGCTGGCTGGCTGCAAAAGAGGTTTATGATTATAAACTTGTCCTATGAGTCTTTTTACTTGTTCTTCCATCCTCTTCCATTGATTCTATTTATGCAGTGATTGCAATTTTCTATTCTCTTTCTATTGATTTTATGCAGTGATTGCAATTTCAGGCATCACTCTCTTTGCATTGAAAACACACCCCTCGAAAGAATGGCAGATTTCAGGGGGGCAGTGTTGGGCCTTTTCTTTTTCTTTCTGACTCACTTGTTTGTCGTTGAGCTTATAACTGACAAGGGGATACGTTGACCCTTGCGAGATTGGCGGCCATGTCTAAAATCGGTGCCTAAATTGATCATGCGTCTCGAACAAAAAAAAATCAAGATGAACAAGGGTCGCCGCTTGATGATCATGGCACGACTCTGTTGGTGAAAAAAGTTTTTGCAGATTTTTTTATTGTTGATCAACAATTCGTTTTTTCTATTCGTATTGTTCTAGAACTTGATGCCCAACCCGACCCAAAGGGGGCCCGACCTCGCTCAAACCCCCCCAAGACTTTTGATGGGCTGTCCGTATATGGATTTACCCGCATCACCAGGGCAGGCGACGGATTTTTGTTTTTTTTTTTTTGTCTTTTTTCCCCCCTCCTTTTTTCTTCTCTGGCTTTCTTTGGAGGGCGCCGTGCAGCTGCGAGTGTGTCGTACAGTTGTCGGCGCGCGCCCCAACAGCACGGGGTCACGACAAAGCTGTCGCGGCCGTTTGAGGCCGTTGAGAAAGTGGCTTTTTTGCTGAAAAGTGGCTGGCTTTTGCTGAGAATGCACGGCCGAGAGTTCCGGGCCAAAAGTCAGTTTGTCCATGGACTTCTCTCGCAATAAACAGCAATGATGGGCCATCCAGCCCGAGTGCGACGCTGCAGGCTGCTCGGCCCCGATAGATGCATTCCCATCCGGTTCTAGGAACGGGCGACGCGGATCCGAAACGGAGTTTTTTTTTTTTTTTTCTCCAACCGGTGTTTTTGATCAAACAGGTTTTTTGTTAAGCCCCCCCCTTAACTCTTTTACTCGAAGACTTGCTAGCTAGAGTGATAGTGCGGCCCAAACCTAAAAGTAAAAACCAAAGAATGGAGGGCGGCTGCCTAATCTTGCCTAGTAGCATCGGCGATTTCCAAATGGCGCACTCTGGAATTCATGCGGGGCAAACATGGGCAAGAAGAACTGCGCACGTAGTTATAGTTCTTGAACTTGTTTCTATACGGAGAGCCAGTATCGGCGTGCCCATGGGGGCTTTGGACCAAAAAAAAAAAAAAAAGGTGGCCATGGTGAAAGTAGTTTGCCGGCCCTTGGTGTGTAATCTCTTGGTGTGTGATCCGGTTTATGTGTGCAAAAGTAGTAACTGCACGGCTTGCCATCAGAAAAAGCCCTTGCGAAACTAGCAATGCTGCCTGAATTTTGACGCTGTCTGTATTTATTATAGCCTTCTATCAACTAATACGGCTCCTAGTAAAAATTTGAACGCGCTGCAGCGGCGACTACAAGGGGGGACGGACGTTGGTCTCGAGGCAATTTTTGTTGTCTCTCAATCGAAAGATACTCTCGGAAAACCAGGATTTTCTAGCTTTGGTAAAGTTTTCAATCTCATAATACGTCTCGAGAGAGGCATATTTGAAGAAAAGCAATTCAAGCTTTCTTGGAATAACTTGGAAGAAAACCGTTTCTAGCTGGTTGTAGACGATTTTATACTACTAAAGGACCGAGAGTAAGTAGACTGTAGAGAAAACGTACAACTATATGATTTAAATAGAGACTAGTAAGGTATTAATAGTTCTATGATAGGAGTAGACATATCTATATATGCAATCAGCTAGAGTAGGTTGAAGTTTGGTATATAATTAGCTCCTAAGAAAGTATGTCCAAGTTCCGCTCAATATCCAACAAACGTGGCAGACAGCTGGTATCCCTAGCTTCAACATCAGCACTTCTCTCAAGGGATAGCTAATAAACTGTCTCACTTTCCCTCTTAGCGGGCCAGTAATAGCGCCGTTCGGCCACTACGATCCTTGGGCTTTACGTTGGCGCCTGTCACGAGTAGCAAGGAGCCTACCTTGTATGAAGGCTTTTTATAGAAGGCGCGCCTTTTATAGTTTGAGGCTTGATAGTTCACCGCCTCTGCTGCCCTCCCTTGTTTCGTTCAACAGGCCATTCCACAAAAGTAGCCGTTTATCCGTCTCCTTCCACTAGAACCACGGTATCCGTAATGCATTCTCCAGCCACTCGGGCATTCTCGGGCCAACTGTGGGAACTATTGATTTAGAGGACGGTTTTCAGACAGAAGAGACTTGCTAGCTAGTGATTTCTTGGATATCTTACCCCTTGTATGTGCGTGGCAAATTGTGTGAATCGCTGAAGCCATCGTACAGTCGTAACCGTTAAATGTCACTTCATCGGTTTAAATCTATGTCGCTGTTATCATGTGAGTCCACTGGAACTGGGATTATGTGGGAGATGCTCCCAAGTTTCCACCGTCATTTCATGTCGTTGTTGTCCCGAGAGTCAAGGAGAACTTCCTTCCGATATGGCCCGAAGACCCCCAACGACCTCATGCAAAGCCAGGAGATGAAGTACGTTTTTATCGCTTTCAAATTATTATTAGTGCTCTAAATCCGCTCTTTTCTAATTCGACTCTGAAACTGTGGGCTGTCTAGCTCCTTCTTGTCGATGCCAAATAGCAACGCGTACACGGGAGCTAGGTTGTGAGGTCCGCACGGCCGAGCGTCACCACTCGCTCGTCGCTTGTCAAAGAAATTCTGGAAAAATGCCGCGAGTGCCGCATCAAATCTTTGTCCTTGCTGGGAGGGAATGCTGGCCAGCACAGCGAGATGCTCCTGCTCCTGCCCCTGCCCCTGCTCCTGCTCCTGCTCGACCGCGGAAATCGTGTCTACAACGGCTGCTTTTACCGCATCAGCTTGCTGTTGATCAAAATATGGGAGGCTAATGTAGTGTGGGTGAGTAGTGCTGTTGATTCGTCGTGCTGCGTTGGCATCTTTTTCCACGTTGATAAAGTCGTGGATGAGGAGGCGCATCTTGAAGCCGAGGATCGGGTCCGCGGCGACGGCAGATGTTGTAGTAGGCGGCGCGGAAGTTGAATTTCCGTTGAGCTTGTGCTCAATTTTGAGCTTGCCCTTGTCCCTTTTTTTTTTTTTTTTTTTTTTTGCAAATGTGTGGCTGTAGACGATGGGTTGGACCTGAGGCTTCAAAGAATATCTCTGTTAGGCGAACTTGATGTATGTGAGGTAGAAGGACTAATAGATGATAGAAAGGAAGATGGGCAGAGATAAAAGAAGAAAAAGCGATAATTAAATGGTAGAAAAAAAAAAGAGCATTTGGTGGCTTGAGGGTGGTGAAAACCTTGATTAGATTTCTCATTATCAAGGTGACCGAGATATCCAAGGTACTTAGTCGTGATGCCTTTACATTTGCTAGTCGATTTCACCACTAAGAAAATTACTCCACGATCGCTGATTGAAGAAGTCGAAAGGCTAATTTGGTAGGGCTGAGGCGGCGGCTGAGGCACGGCTGAAGATTGCTAGTACTTCTATTATAGCGTAGTTAACTAGTGTATTCAAGTACCTTTGATCCACTCATACCATTAGTCAAGGCCCCTGTGAGTGACTTCGGAGCTTCAGCTTTTCCTCGGCGGTCAAGGGATAGCTATCGAGGTAAGGCTCATCCTCACTATTCTATTGGCTCTGGGATTCCCTTGCCCCGTTTTCTAGGTATTCAAGTTGACCGTTTCTATTCTAGACCGACACTGCCCGCGTCATAGCCCTGTCTGTCCCTTGCCCACTCTCTCATGCCGGGGTCGTCGCCCAGATCCGCGCACCCGCTCTGTGGCTATGCCACATGTGGCGGAGGGCGCATGCCGATTGCAAAAATAGTCATCATGAAAGAGCTTTTTACAAGGTTCTTCCAAGTATCAGGCAATCAGGTTCCGTCCGGCTAGGCGCTACTACCGGGTCCTTGGGTCGCTTCTGCTTTTTTTAGTAGTATCTTTCAATAAAGGGTGAAAAGCTATACTCCAAAATTCCTCAAGGTAACGGAATTCGTCCGGGCAGTCGCCTTTTTCGGGCTCCTCCGGCGATAAACACTGCTCCTACTATTATCAGTAGGTGTCGTTGCAATCTCTCAGCCTCTTCTTTTGGAGCCAGTTCCTTTTAGAAATGACCGCACTCTGCTTCGCATGAAGCCACGGAAATTCCCTTTCAAGCACAGCTCTAAAAGCCAAACTTGGCCACACTACTTCCGTATATAGCTTAAAGACTTGTAGCTTTTTGCCAATCTATCGAATTACACAAGAGGGGCACAATAAACAGACGAGGGGCGTAACTAGTAACACTGAAAAAAAAAAATTGAAGCGGCCAACAAGGTGCTGCTGCCCCACGACAGTAGGCATTCCACAGAATTTGAAATTTTGAAGCCCATATCTCCTCATGGTCGATTGCGGTAGCTTTCAACTATGAAAAGACTCACTCTGTGCCAGAAGACATGGCTGTAATGGAAGGAACGTCGACCGCCATCAAAGACAAGATCGGAAACCATGTTCGCTAAGCCACGTTTTCAGAGGGTCCGGCGTCATCACAACAAGCTCGCGGCAATACTATGTATGTACTCATCCTCGTCCATGACGGGTTTGTTTCATTCTGCTCATTTATCCACATTTCAGCCCTAGTGATAGTGCATAGTGCCAAGTGTAACTTGTTATATCATACCGGATATAGCTGTGGCTATGGAAGGGTGACAGACCATATACAGCCAAAGTTTATGTTGTATGATATCAATGTCTATATCATACTATTGTCAACTTTGACTTCCTTGCCAAGGCTGACAGGGGAATCTCCAGAATCCTGCTTTCAAGCTAGCCAAGGCGGATATTCAAGACTTGCTGTTTTTGACATGGGAATACTCTGAATATAAAAGGAAGGTGATGGCCGCCACATCTTGTAGATCAGTATCCATCAACCATTACTCACTCACTACCAAAGACCAACACAACCTTTTACACAATGACCGGCATCACATTCACCATTGCCTCGAGCATCTTGCTCGCTCAGGCTGTTCTTGGCCAGGTGCGTTCCATTATCAAGGCGCTCAGTAGTGCCTACAAATATCCTTTTCTCTCTGTCATGGTCAACTGTTACAGTCACTAATCGACGTCTCAATTAGAACCAGTGCCCGAACGGCTGGGGATCTACCCAGTTTAACAACAACGACGTTCACTGCTGCTACGGCTCCATGAGCGTCAACAACAACGAGGGCTTCTGCTGCGTCCACGGCAGCGGTGGTTCCGGCGCCATTGCAATCGACGCCGCCGACTGCTTTCCCTTTTGCTCCGACTCGGCGAAGAAGAATGTTCAAGTCGCCTCCCCCTCGCAAAAGTGCATTGACAATGTCCCATTCTCCGCCGCGGATTATTCGCAGCGTGTCTCGGCCGCGTCCAAGTTGGCAGTAGCATCGCAGACGGGCGGTTCTCAGATTGTCAGCAACAGCGCCTCTGCCACCAAGGCTCCGTCTCCGACAGGCAGCAACGGCGCTCCTGGCAGCAACGGCTCCTCGGGCAGCAACGGCTCCTCGGGCAGCAACGGCTCCTCGGGCAGCAACGGCTCCTCGGGCAGCAATGGTGCGGCTGGTAGCGCCGGTGCGGCTGGTAGCGCCGGTGCGGCTGGCAGCCACGGCGCGGCTGGCAGCAACGGCGCAGCGGGTAGTAACGGCGCCCCGGCTACCAAGTCTCCGTCTCCAACCGGCAGCAACGGCGCCTCGGGCAGCAATGGCGCCTCGGGCAACAATGGCGCGGCGGGCAAGAATGGTGCGGCTGGCAGCAACGGTGCGCCCGGTAGCAACGGCGCCTCGGCCACCAAGTCGGGCTCGCCCTCTGGCGCGACGGGTGCGGCTGCGTCGAGCTCGGGCAGTAAGAGCAGCTCCGCCTCCATCGTCATCACCAATGCGGCCTCCTCTGTTTCCCATGGCCTTGTCCAGGCCGGTGGTATTGTGGCTGTGGCAGCCATGCTGGCTTTTTAAAATGGTGCACGATTTGTCCAAGGAACAGCCCACAACACCCATGTACTATTATTATCTTTAAACAGTAGGCCGCTCTGGCACTTTGCTTAATAGTGCCTATAAATAGCTCTCATAATTCTTAACCTTTTATTATTAGATGCAAAAAAAAAAAAAAAAAAAAAAATCTCCACCTTTCCATAGCAGCTTTTTTCTAAGTGGTAAGCTTTATTTGGGGCTCTCTGCTATAAGAGGAAGTATTACACTTTTACCTTCTGGGGAACCCTAGTCAGGGTTTATTAGCTCTTGCGTTATTAGTTGGGATTTTTGAGAGTAATCTCTGTGACATTTATGCCGTGATCTTGAGATTTTCATTACTGGTGACTCGCGACTCAAATCGAAGAAGGAATCATAGGGCTGGCCACGGCGGGCTACGGCGGGCCACAGCACAAAGCACCAGTCTATCCCCTACAAGTACAGCGGCCGTATAGCCAGTACAGTAGCCGTACATCCAACACAGCAGCCGTGCAGTCAGTACAGCAGCCATACAGTGGCTAGTATCGCGAGTCACCATTTTTAAAAGGCGTACTGAGGACTCAGAGAAAGCTGATACATGGTAGAATTCCCCCTCTCTTAGTCTGTGCAAGTCGCCCCGTGTTAGAAAAGGTACTTTGTCGGCCCCAGGGTGATTAAAGTTGTGTGATTCTATGAAGAAGTATGAAAAAAAAAAAACCACTCGAGTCACAAGTCACCAGTACTCCAAAAACCTCAAGATCACGGCATGAATGTATATAGAGTGGTATGGGTGAGTTGTGTATGCCTTACCGACAAGAAAGGAATGCCTACAGGGTTCTGAGCGCCCATGCCTGCCAAGTTGTATCCCTGTCATCGAACAAGGTTCATTTTTGCAGTGAAAGAAATATCAGACGGATATAATACTCACGCACGCACCCCAGTAGGGCTGAAGGGCCCAAGGCAGCTGTATTTTCTTGCTGCCTTAGCTCCACTTTGACTCATTTGTTCATTTACTGCTTCCTCTGCTTGTTCAGTTACATCTTAAAAAACAGCATCACACTGACTTGAACCTCTCAAACGAAAAGTGCGCCCGTACTTGTGTATCACGACATCTACCAGCAGTCTGGTCGCTTTTTCTATCTTTGCGGTCTCTCACCTGCATTTCTTCAACCCACCATGAGCGCTTCACCTCCACCGACTCCGCCTTCAGGACCTGTGCTTGACGAAGAGTGGAGGTTCAAGACCATGACCTCGCCATGCGAGTGGATTGAGGATTATCGCCCCGGTGGATACCATCCAGTCTTGCTCGGCGACCTCTTCAACGACGGCCAATACAAGGTCATCCGCAAGCTTGGTGAAGGGTCTTTTTCGACGGTCTGGCTGGCCCGTGACGAGCGGCAAGTCAAGTCGTACACGCGATGTTCTGTTATGATTTATTAACCCACTCAAAGAAACAACAGATACGTCGCACTGAAAATCCTTGTCGCAGAAGCCTCCGGACAGGCAAGCGAAGTGCGCATCTTGCAGCACCTAGCAGCTGTTGCTCCAGCAGAGGAGCAACGCTACATCACGCAACTGCTTGACGAGTTTGAACACCGCGGCCCTAATGGAACCCATAAATGCTTAGTTTTCGAGCCCATGGGCCCGACTGTCAATTCCATGGTGAGGAGCTGCCTCAGTTTAAGCCTCGTCGGCGGCAGATGAGAGTCCGCTATCCGCCAAATATGGCAAAACGTATTCTGAAGCAGTCCTTGCAAGTGTTGGCGTTTCTCCACTCCAACGGCATCGCCCATGGAGACTTTCAGCCTGGAAATATGCTCTTTGCTTTGCAAGATCTCGAATCAGCCACAGAAGATCGTCTTCGGCAGGAGGAAGACGTACAGAAAGGATCAATCTCGCCTCTGGTGGAAAGGCTGGATGGTAAACGGGACCTTTGGGCGCCGCGCTATCTCTGCATTTCGCAGCCACTATCAGAATTTACCTGCTATGAGGGAGACTTCAAGATCAAGTTGGCCGACATGGGTGGCGGTAAGTACTTTCGTGGCGGACTATAAAATGAGGAATTCAACTCGTGACTCTGGCTAATCGTGACAGCCTTCTTTTTGAATGAGCTGCCGTCGAAAGCAATAATTCCGCTTGGGCTACGCTCGCCTGAATTGATTCTCACAGGAGACGTGGATCAATACGTAGATATGTGGAGTTTTGGCTGTCTTGTTTTTGAACTTGTCACCGGGCGGCCTCTCTTCTGTGTACCAGGGTCCGATTTTGAAGATGACGACCATCTGCTCTCTTTGACTGCCCGGCTTGGTGCTCTCCCTAGCAGGCTGTTTAAGTTGTGGAAAACATCGTCGCTGTACTTTGGATCAGATGGGAAGCTTTTCAACAACCAGATCGGGGGAGTCTCCGAGAACCGAGAGCCACGGGTGGTGCCACAGCAGTCCATGGAAGAATTGTTCGACAAGGCGGAGCCTAATATTGATGAAAAGGAAGGCTACCAAGTGAAGAAACTAATCAGGCGGATTTTAGACTATGATGCTGTAAAGCGACCGTCGGCGGCCGAGCTTTTACTTGATCCATGGTTTTGCGCAATTGAGATGTAAACTTATCCAGCGCATCTTCTTGTTTAGTTCTGCTGATAATGTGTTATGGCGCTAGTTAGATATTTACCAAGTGGCTCAGGTGGTTGTTTATGCAGCATTTTGGCCTTTTTGGCGTCAAGCTAAAAATTTAGACAGAGTCGCGCCGCTTGCTGATTACCTAAGGTATGCTCAATGCAATAGGGGCTCTTGCTTATAAAGCACCTAAGAATTATAGTGCACATGAGGGAGGTTCGCGGGGTAAGCACGAAACTCCCAATTTAAATCAACCACATATTACTATACCATCTGGCATGTCAAAGTATGGGGTAGATTCCTAGTGCGCTACGCGGGAATAACGTTAATCAGTACGCGCGGCCTTAGGCACAGGCACGGTGATGGGAGATCGAAGGATTTGCACCCGGGGGTGGCCTTTTTTTAAATCTGATGTGCAAGCAGCCCCGCCAATGGCCGGCCATCAGTACTGATCGCATAATGACTAAGTACTGTACTACGCTGAAGATCATCAACCTTCAGCTAGGGCGGATGTTGCAGAGCGGCCACCAGCAGATTGCGGGGGGGTTATAGCCATTTTGCCGACGGCAGCCGATCGATGTCCTACTTGCCTTGTTTCTAGCACTGGAAATAATAAAGGCAAAGCATCGCAAGCAACATAAGAGCCATCAAAGAAAGCATAGTCGTGCCAGTGCAAGTGATATAAAACATGGAAAAGCCAATAAGTATGGCGCAAAGCTAGGCCGCAGCGAAAGTCATATAATACAAAAAGAGTGAGCTCTGAAGAACCAAAAGGTTTGGGGGGTCAAGGGTATTTCGAAAAAAAGTAAGCTTGCACGGATCTGCGGCGGCTGGAGGTAGCCACGGGCCAAGATTCGCATCCCGTCTTGGCCCAGTGGATTATGTCGATGTGTGAAATTCATATTGTTCTGCGATGCAGAGACTATGGACCGACGACGGATCGCGTGACTGGGCACTTTTAGGCACTTGTCAAAGTTGGGCTACGTCCGTCGTCCAACTACATGCACGACCTATTCCAAGACAAGCTTTTCCAAATATAAATCACTACATGTGTCGTGAAATGGGCTGATCAACACATTTATTGGTCCAATCCACAGCGCCTCGAAAGGGCCCTTCTCAAACTCAACCGGTGATGTGGTGTCGACTTTATTGACATGTGTCTCAGAATGGCGCAACAAAAAGCAAGGGTGTCCCTTTACGGTGTCAACTGTCAGCATTAATCAATGTGCGGGCAGGTTAAAAGTCTCCTGTTCTTGGCAGCTCGCCTTCTACTACATCTACAAGCTTGAGAAATATGCCGAAAAACGATCGTTATCATGGGGGGTCTCTGCATTGTCGATCCAAGACGCTGTCATCTTGCTCAAAGGCTGATGTGCACCTCCGCGTTGCCAAGACATGCAGGTTTTCGCCCAAACAACCAGGCATGCTATGCGACCCTAAGCTGTTCAGCTGAAGGGCTGACAACAGCATGCAGTGTGCATGAGAAATGAACCTGTGCGCGAAAAAATCGGGAAAATCGGAGAATATACGGCAAGCGACGATCCGAAGTGCACCCAAACTGGAGGCACGAGTACGACAGACGACGGGCCGATGTCGCATATCGAAGCCCTTACCCAACTGCCAACCTGCATAAACGACTTCACCTTGTTGCCCTGTTCCGACGTCGAAGAATCTTTAAGGTCTTTTTTTTGATTGGCAGTCTCTGCCGGGAAAAGTCTGTGAAAGTAACCAACGTGTAAATGAAGATGATTCCTTAACCTGTGGCACATGGGGCGATCTTCTGCTGGAATCGATGGCAACGCGATGTAACACCCTACACGGCTAGTTCTAGAACTCGACGATGATAATCCTCCCGTCCCGACTACATCTTGACGCAGCAAGCTAAGAAGAAGCTGAACAACCCTCTTCTTTTCGGTTCGGTCGCACATTTACCTTGTAGAGTTACCTTTGCGAATAAGCCATCCAGGCCGCAACATGTATAAAGCCAGAATGATTTCCCCCTCTCATGAATATTTAGTTCAGCACCACAACACAACAACAACACAACAACAACAACACAACAACACAATTCTTTCTTCTGTTCCAAACCAAAGATTCTTCAAAATGAAGTTTGCCATTCTCAGCCTTCTCCCCCTCCTCGCTGCGGCCACCGCCATTGGCGAGAGAGATGCAGACGAAGCTAGCATGAAGGGCGTCGCGCCCAACAACGCCCCTCAGGACGACAATAGCCTCGCGGGGCTCATGACTGCGTCTGAGAAGGGCAAGGCTGACCTTACGGCCACTTGCCCTCCCAACTACCCCAAATACTGCCCTGCTTTCAATTTTTGCTGCCCTTCTATCGCAATTGGCTGCTGTCCGCGCGCCTGCTGTGCTCCAGGTGCTAGACGCTGCGTTAACGGATGGTGCGCGAGATAAGTTTTGAACTTGGGGGCATCACCAAGGTTGTAAGTGTAAGAATCAACCCCCTACCTACTCTACGTATTTTCTAAACGCTGATGAAACTAGCAGAGGACTGTCGAAGCGGGACAAGCTGTCTTTGGGCGGCGCAACTATCAACATATCAGCTTGGCAGTCTGCTTATATAGCAATCGATACTGACAATAACAAAGTTGCTATTCCTTTTTAACCATCAGATATGTTAGCTCAGCCACATTTTGGACGTACACACAACTTTCACACAACAGCCCCGCGCAATGCTGTCGCCACTGTCCCTATCGCAGGCTGAACCCTACACAATAAGGGTTGCTCCAAGAAACAAGAAACAAGACTTTGCGTACAGAGGACCTTGAGAGAACATTCCGCCCGTGCTAACTGTCAGTTTCATAATTGTAGACTTGCCCACCGTTGTGTATAGAGAAAAGTGAACTGTGGAAGCAAATAACAAGATCAGGCCCAGCTAGCTGTGTCCCGATTTAGTATCAGGATTAATCGTAAAATAAACCGTTCAAGTTTTTGGGTAGAAGTGGTTGCTCGCGACAAGTACATGGATAACACCCAATAGAAAGAGAACAAACTATTTTTAGATGAAGACCATTTTCAACAAAGCCAGCAGTGTTACATGCATAATATACCTCTAGAACATGGGCGGCCCCGATGCCAGGAACGGGGGGTAGGCGACGTGCCGTGCCAATGGCAGCATGCGGTACAAAATTTGCGGAACCGAATCTGGATTTATCCACCTCTTTTCCATGTCGAATCAAAGACAGCACTGCATATGCCGCTAAGGGTGTGGCAGTAAGCCCACTGTGTGACGACAATCGTATTGCTCCCATCCCGGCTTGCGTCTTGGCGCAAGGAAAAGAGGGAAAAAACTACAACAAACACGATGATGATAATCCGGGTTCCATGCTTGGAGGATTAACAGCTGGCGTTTTGAGCTGGGTCCCCTCTCGCTCCTCTAATTGCCACACTGTCGAAGCATCAACATTGCCATTTTTTTTTGTACCTTTGTGCGTCTAACCAAAAGCATTGACACGATTCGATGAGGTATACTATTTTCAGTCTCATTTCTGTTCTCGCTGCAGCATTTGCCATCAGCAAACGGCCGGGGTACCGACATAATAAACGATGACCTGGAGATTGTCGATGTGAAGAACCTTGCCGAGAGTGCCAAGCTCGACGTTGCTCTCTGTGCGGTAGCGGAGGGAAGGGAGGGTACTGGTGCATCTGGCAGGGTATCTCATATATGCCTAGAAGGATGCCAGCTAGACGGAATATATGTAAATGACTTATAAATTACTCCTCCATGCCGCGAGCGATTTCTTGCTAGAGAATACCGTGACAGCTCAGGGGCAGGCTATTCTTTCAGGTGACGTAGTTAGATATGAGGCCAGCCTATAAGCAACATAGCAAATAGGGCTTACTCCAAAGTACATCCTTTTTAAAGGAATATAGTAGTTTAAATATAACTATTAAAAATTATATCTTAGGTATACTAAGAAACTTCTTAAGAATCTTTTTATCATATTAAAAGCTTTAATCTCAATTAACATTGTCGCTCGCGCCCACGGCCCCGACCTTGACGCACAGCCAAGTCGTACGGCTGCGACTACAGCGATAATAGCCAGATGGGCGCCGACACGATGCTGGGCGCCGACACGATGCTGGGCGCCGACACGATGCTGGGCGCCGACACGATGCTGGGCGCCGAGTCTCGCGATAGCGTATGCTGCGACTCCTGATACGAATACAGCCCAGGTGGCGCGGCGTCGCGCTTCAAAATTCGGTTGGAACCGGCGCGCCGGCGCTGTACGACCGACGATACGGCCCGGACGTCGACGTCGACGCTCGCGCAGGTCGAGCGGGCCGTGGCCGCAGCCGCTGACTGTGCTGCGCCGGAGAACGAGGCCGATAAGACGCGGCTCAGACTGTCATCGTCTGTCAACCGCAGCATCTACCTCGAGAGCTTCATGGTAATTCAAAATAACATGTTCGAGAGCGCAAAGTGCGTGATGGGCATCGCCGACGCTGACTGGACGGTGATGTGTGAATCGGGGAGGCGGCACTACGAGGAGGGCCTGACGCTGGCCGAAGGGCAACATGGCAGGGTTCGTCAAGATGCTGTACGCACTGGCATTTTACTCGATGCGCTCGAAGTGTCGACCAAGGTGCAGAACGAGCTGCTGTGCCTGCCACAGAAGGACCTGGACGCGGCAACCAAAGATGCGATTACGCTGGCCGAGGTGCTCAAACAGCGGGCAGAGCGCATGCCCAAAGAAGCGGGATCGACTTGTTCCTAATATCAATATTGACAATGGAAGAATGCCCATGCCTTTCAACTTTGTACCGCTTCTCAAAGATCCAAGTGTATGTTGTGAGGTGATGCAAAGCAGGAACAGTTGGGGAAAGCTTGGCAAAGGGTACTCAGCGATGATACTTGGCAACGCCCTCCATGCTGCTGCTCATGTCCATGACTAGGTGTCAGACGGCCACCGTCCCATTACTCACTCTATCAAAGCATCCAAATCTTATTCTCTCCAAGTAACACTCGCAATCGGCAAGACCAGTCCGACTACGTGTGGTGAGCTGCAAGCCATTCTCTTCCCGAGCTCGCTTGCATACCAACATCACCACCCGAGGCCCACGGCTGCCCCATGGAGAATGCTCTGTCAAGACCCGCCGCCATCCCGTCTGGGCAGACCACGTGAAAGATGGAAAATGCTCAATCCTCGTCTGCCGAGAGAGCCACCAATATGACCGGTCTCGTGCATACCCGCCGGGGCTAGAGAAGGGCGGACGGTGCATCCATTCCGTTAGTCTGAAAAAGGGCAGCTCTTGATTCCGCAGCACTGGGCTTCTCCCGGCGGTGAAATGGCGGGATAGACAGGGCGAGCTCGCCTGAAGGGGCTCTAGGCTCTGACTAGCGGACAATGCGACTTTTGGCTAGGCGGCCGCGAGAACGGGCCGCAGAGGGCGGACGGTCATGGGGCGGACGGTCATGGGGCGGTGGAGATGCGGTCGTTTATGGTAGCTACCCTACTTGCCATTGTTCGGGTCAATGGAGTAATGTCATCACGTCAGAGAGATTAGAGGGTTTCGTGCCGCAGTGTCCGAGGAGAAGATGTGCATGTCGGTGGGAAGCAAGACTGTCGAGCCTGCGTGCTGGAGAGCGTGTTCCTTGGCAGTGAGGTGGAGGTCATTGTTCAAGTAATACAAGCAGCTAGAAGCGTAAACGGCCAATTGACCGGAATAGATGCGGTTTGCGACGCCATTGTATGCTACTGCACAAAGCGTCTGTTGCCGCTTTAATCCAAGATGCATTAAATATTATTCACACCTCGCGCCGCTGGTACCAAGTTCAAGATATGCACTGTGAGCGAGTATGCACCTACCGGGTTTTGATTATGTCAGCGTAGCTTTGCTGCGGGATCGCGCTTTTGGCTAGGCACGAAACTTTCAGCCAGAAAAAAGACCTGAGCTTCACGAAAACGACCACGAACCGATCCCAAGGCCCACGATCAGGACCAACAAAAAACATAGAAAAAAAGCAAACGACACCGACAAGATGAGCTTCGTCCCCGTGAACCCGCGACCGATGCTGCAGGAGCTCGTCGACAAGACGGTCTCGGTGCGGCTAAAGTGGGGAGAGACCGAGTACAAGGGCAAGCTGGTGTCGCTGGACGCGTACATGAACCTGCAGCTGGCCAACACGCAAGAGTACATTTCGGACAAGTTTACGGCAGATTTGGGGCAGGTTCTGATCAGGTATGTGTCTTCTTGGGGTGGGGGTGGGGGTTTTGTTTGTGAGAGCTTGGGGAGGCGCAATTGCGTGTTGGAGCTTGGAGAAAAGATGACAGCTTTGCTAATCAAGACGCTTTTGTCTGCGCAGATGCAACAATGTTCTGTGGATTCGCGGCGCCGAAGATGGAGATGTAAAGATGGAAGGTTAACGCGCGCGAGCGTGTGTGTGTGTGTGTGCGTGTGCTTGATTTGCTCGGCGTTTGGGTCTTGGGGATTTTTTTTCCTTTCGCGAGGTGCATTGGATGAGAGCTGCCGATTTGATGGAAGCAGAAAGCAGCACGGCTTCGAAACGATGATTGATGACAACTTCAATGCGAACGACGACAAAAGTTTTTCGGTAATGGCTGCTTCATGGCGTGGATTTGCGACGATGCGGTTTATCAAGATGATACGACTGCGAACGAGGCTGCAAGTACGGTGGCTGAAAGCGACATGCGAAGCTGTTGGTTGTCCAAATCGAGTCGTCGACGGCTGTTGAAAGGTCGTCGCCTAAAATCTCTATCGGCGGTCATGATGAGATATCGTGATGTCTACAGCTGCTATTGCTGTGGCACAGTCAGAATCATCTGCGCAGTTTATTAACACGAACCAAATGCGGCAGTCAAAGTCAAGATATGCTGCAGATATAGTGCAAATAAACCACACCAATCATTGCAAAGACATGGCCAGCATCAATTTCGAGTCGCCTTTACACGACATGTTGGCGGTCTGACCCAGCTGAATCGCTGCATGCACAATGAGCCTCACGGATACTTGCATATAGATACATGTCTCTATACGTATAAAAAAGGACGATGAATCATGCTCCGTTAAAGCAGCCGGAGCTAACATTTTAGACAATCAATCAAAAGGAGCGGCACAAAGCGTGGCACAACAACGGATACTTCCCGCTCGCCCCTCTCGCATCATGATTGTATTCCACCAGCACCACCCTCGCCGCAACATTTATGTAGCGTCATCAAACCCCAACGCAACGTTGTGATTTCTCCCGACTCAGTCAGGTCATCTACGTACAACACAACAGAAAAAAGACCGAGTATCCGTACTGGGTTCATTCACTCACTGGTTGGCGGAACAAGATGCACGGTGATGGAGAAGCCCTTATTCAACCAATCAGAATGGGCATATAGACGCCCGGCAGAAGCAAAAGGTGGTGGGGACCTTGTCTTTTAGCGTTTTTTTGGCTGTGGCTGGGAATGGGGCCTGCCAGCTGTGCCAGTTAAAGAAGAGCTTTTTGCTGCGCTGAATCTGCAGGTTAGCCGCCGTGGTGGCTCCTAGCGTCATGCAGATCCCTGCTTGGAGACTTTTGTATCCCACGTTTGTCCGTAATACACAGTGTCTGTATCCATGTATTTATTTATTTATATATTTTTCATTTTCAGCTTGGCTAAGTCGTGTTATAAAGTTGCATTGAATGTGGCCTTTATTTTAAACTTTGGCAGTCGTGGTTTTTGATAATTCTCGCAGATGATCTTATGCCAGACCACAGCGGAGATCAATTGCCCGCACTGTGATGGCGTCTAGTAGTTGCTTGTAATACAACTGGTCAAGTCGACCAGGATGACGACACGTTCATACTCTCTTGACCCCGTGACGGACCTGCCCTTCTCCCGCACTCGTGTATCTCTAATATTGACGGGAAAAAAAATCGTTGATCTATTCAGGCACAAACCGCAGCATCGTCAAAAGACCTGCGTCTTCTTCCCACGACAATACCAACGCCACCAACCCCCATGCCCTTACCTGCATGTCTTTGATATGCAGCCTCTTTTTCTTTTTGTCTACTTTGTTCAACAGGACTTTTAACATACGGATAACTAAAAACTAAATGCCTCGCAAGAAAAGCCCCATTCGACAAGGGTTCCGGCATCAACTCGCAACTACACCACACCACACACCACCACCCTCCGTTGTTCAATCCCACCCCTCCATCAGGCCAATGCAACACCATGGCATCCTCGACCGCCCATTGGCCCAACACTGCATCTGCACGCCCACAGACTAGCAGATCAACTTCCAAGTCCCAATGATGAATTATATGGACAGCCCACCGGCAGAAGCGAGAGAAACGGGTTTGTCTGCTTCCCCTCCCCTCCCCCCCGGCCGCCCACGTTACCCAGCCGCCCGCTTCATATATCAAGGGCCGTGGCCTCACCTCTTCAACTTTTTTTTTTTCCTTTCTTTTTTTTTTCAGCAAGTCTTGTCAATTCTATATTCTCGGTTCTGTTTGTTTCGTTTCAATTTTTTTTTTGTCCTCTTTGCATTTCCCAAGAGCTGGTCTCTTTCTTTATTCGCTTCTTTTAATAATCATCCTCTCTCAAAAGCCGCATATACAATCTAAACCGTCAACACCTTTTTTGCTCGAAGATACACTCAAGTTGCTGGTCAGCTTTGGAGAACGATTATACCATTTTTACATAAACATTCATCTTGTTTTGCCTGCATTATCCCTCTCTCTCTCTCTCATATCATCACCTAATAAACGGAACCATCGGAATACTTGCTCGAAACGTTCACCCCCGATATACACCATCATTTTTTTGATAACATTGCCTCGTTCAAGAATCTTTTTTATTTATTTTCACGCATTTTGACGAATTGTTACGATTTTCTGCATCGCTACATTTCACGACCATAAAGACTACACAAAACAGCAATAATGTCCGCCATTCAGCTTTCCTTTTCCCTCCGCGTCTCCTCCGGCGTCAAGGCCGTCCACCTCCTCGGCTCCTGGGACAATTACGTGGGCCAGCTCCCGCTCTCCCGAGACAAGACCTCGTCCAAGTCGGGCTCCTGGAAGGGCACTTTTCGCTTCCAAAACACGACCCTGCAGACCGGCCAGCGATACTGGTACTACTACATCATTGATGGCTACCACGTCGCCCACAACCCCAGCATCGCCTCCACCACCGAGCCGACCACCGGCCGCGAGCTCAACATTCTCGACGTCCCCTCGGACAAGTCTTCCTCGTCGTCCTCCAAGTCGTCCTCCAAGTCGTCTTCCAAGTCGTCGTCCTCCTCGTCAAAGTTGTCCTCGTCGTCCAAATCCTCTTCCTCGTCCAAGTCGTCCTCCAAATCGAGCAGCAAGAGCTCATCCTCGTCCCGCCACTACTCCTCGTCCACGTCCTCGACCTCCTCTTCCAGAGACAAGGACCGCTCTCACTCCTCGCGCAAGAGCCTGTCCGTCGACATCCCCAAGGGCCGGCCCCTATCCATCTCCCAGATCAAGGCCCCCAAACCCATGTCGCCGCACGCCACCAAGCACCTGCTCGAGTCCGACTACCACGGCAACTCGGAGCTCGAGGAGCTCGCCGCCCGCTTCGGCACCGCCGGCCTCGACGACGACCTCATCACCGACTTCTCCACCTCGCCCGTCTCCTCGGTCGGCTCCGCCTTTTCCTACCGCTCCGACAGCTCCTCGCCCTCGTCGTCCCTCTCCGGCTACAGCACCCCGAGCTCCGACTGCAGCAGCTGCACCTGCGAGCGCTACGGTATCACTCGCCGCGGCGAGCGCGTCAAGCTCGACTGCGGCGGCTCCCGCTGCGGTCACGACGACGACGATGACTACTCGGATGACTCGTGCGTCAGCGACGCCTACGAGTCCGAGGACGAGCGCGTCCGCCGCCACCACGGCCACCACAGCCACGGCCACGGCCACGTCAACGTCTCCCGCCGCCACGGCATCATTGTGTCCTGATGAGCGCATTCGCCGCGCAACCGGGGGCGTGAGCGGGAGGCGAGCGTGGTGGTCAGCGCAGACTACAGGCCGGTGGGTTCTCGGCTGTTTCGTTCATTTTCTTTTTTGCAGATGAGCAGACGCTGGATATCCTTTTCAACGCCTAGCTGACTTTTGCACACGTTTTGCTCTTCTTTTTTTTTTTTTGCCCCTCCTGCTTCTTTATTGTCGAGGCGATTTTAGTTGGTTCCATCTTCGCCTCGCAGAGCCTCGTCTGAAATCTTGCAACAACAACAACCCCCCCAAACAAATTCCTCCACGCCTCCCCGGCGGGGTTGAGGAGAGCGCCAAGCTGGTTCTTGCGAAATGCTCTCGAAGCTCGCCCCGCTGCGGTTGAGAGGGCCGTGATGACAAATCCCGGGGTCGATGCCTACGACTCCTCGCAGCGACGCGCCTCGGCGTCCTGCGAGCTTTATGAATCAAAAAATCTAATGTTTCTTCATTTTGTGTTTTTCTTGAGCGACGCAGCCCTCGCTAGGTTGCAAAAACAGTCCCGGCTGCTTCTCTTGAAGCAGGAACTGTGTCAATGGGAGAAATTGCTATCAGGTACGTGAGATATGCAAGCATCTACTCCAGAGAAAACTTGTGGATTTGGTCTGCGCCAAACGGTAAAGATGGTGCAGACTTAGCCCTGCCCGGGTCGGAAAAGCATTTACTTGGGTCCGTGGATAGAGACGATTGAACTATTCATTTTATACTGCTGCTGCCCCTGCCTGTGAAGTAGCGTAATCATTGTATCCGACGTACTTTTTGCGTGAATTACACTGTAACCATCATCAAGCAAAAGTATGTTGCATTTTCATCGCTCCTGGCTCAAGAAAAAATGAAAGGGTGGTGTCTTCATTGTCTATACAAGAGTCATGGCGCTAAATGACCTCAATCATATATGAGTAGCGCTATTTAGAGGAGTAAAGTTTCATGGGCTTTTTATACAGGAAAGTTGAGAGAATATCAGAGGGGTGTTGGGTCTACGTCGTCCTCGATACACGCATCTACCGATCCAGAGCTTGGCTTTGGCACTACATTCCCAGTTAACCACCGTAAACTACAAGTAGAAGCAGAAAAAAAAAAGAAGAAAAAAGAAAAAAAACTTACCATTTGCCAATACACGCCCTTTTTCCTCAACAGCTCCTGATGGTTCCCCCTCTCCAGGAGCTTCCCGTCGCCAAGCACAAAAATCACATCTGCATTCTGCACCGTCGCCAGACGATGCGCCACCACGACCATGGTGCGGCCGCGTCCCGCGCGCTCAAACGCCGCCTGGACGAGCCGCTCGCTCTCCGAGTCGAGCGAGCTGGTCGCCTCGTCGAGGAGCAGGATGCTGGGCTGGCGAATCAGCGCGCGCGCAATGGCCACGCGCTGCTTCTGGCCGCCGGACAGCGTGACGCCGCGCGAGCCAATGTTGGTGCGGTAGCCCTCGGGCAGGGAGACGATGAAGTCGTGCACCTCGGCCTCGCGGCAGACGCGGTGGAGGTGCTCGTCGGTGATGGTGGTTTCGTCGACGCCGAGAAGAATGTTTTCGCGAATGGTTCCTGAAAATGGTGGGAGCAAAAAGTAGCGTGTTAGCAAGGGGGGAATGAGAGGAGGCTGAGATGTGTCTTTTTTTTTTAACAAAAAAAAAAAAGTTATCATTGACTTGCCTCGAAAAAGCGTCGCTTCTTGGGCGACGAGGGACAGGTGTTGGCGGTACTTGTAGACGTTGCTCTCGGCAACGTCTTGGCCGTTGCAGAGGATACGGCCTTGGGTAGGTTCGTAGAATCTTGACGTGCCAATTAGTTTTCGACTTTTCTGAAAATCCTTTGGGTGACAATTACACACCTCTCTAGCAAGGAGATGATGCTAGTCTTTCCGCAACCAGAAGCACCAACCAGAGCAGCAAACTGGCCCTTTTCAATCGTCAGACTGAGCCCAGCAAACACGGGCGTGTCTCTTGTCGGATACCGAAAGTGCACATTGTCAAGCTCAATCTTGACGCCCCCGCCGCCATCCGCCATTGCGCTTCCTTGTCCGTCATCCCCCGGGCCACCACCACCACTACCACCACCACCATCGCCGCCCACCTCTTTGTTCTGAGAGTCGCGCAGCCGTAGGATGCGATTCGCCGCGTCCTTGACCTGCGCGGCATTTGGCCCAAAGCTGAGCGCCTGGCCCGTCGACTCGCCCGCGTTCATGATGGCGAGAAAACAGACGAAAAAAGCCGTGAGACCAAACTCGCCGCGCAGCAGCAGCCGCCCGCCATAGTAAAAAATGAGCGCCTGACAGGCCATGGTGGCGCTGTCGGAAAAGGCAAAGAGCAGGCTGACCCAGCGCGCCTTTTTATACGCGTCGACGACGTGACCGCGGCACAGCGCGGCAAAGCGCGCACAAATGGCATCTTCCAGCGTCAGCGAAGCCACGGTGCGAAACGCGGCAATGGATTCCGACGCAAACTGCGAGCTCTCCGAAAAGACGGCGTCATTCATCTTTTCAAACTCAATCTCGTACCGGAAGCGCCAGTACGTCGAGCACAGCAGCACCGGCACCACGACGCACAGCGAGACAATGGCCAGCTTCCACGCAAAGCAAAAGGCAATCACGACGGAGCCGAGCAGCGTAAACAGTCCAATGTAGACGCTCGCCATGTTGGCGCCCATGAGCTCCTCGAGCTTTTGCGGGTCGCCCGACGCGCGCGCCGTCATGGTGCCCTGCGCGTGCGCGTCCTCGTCGAAGAAGGCGGGCTGCTGGTAGAGGATCGAGACAAAGTACGCGCGCTGGTACTTGGCGCGAATGACATTGGCCGTGCGCGTGGCGAGGAAAAACGTGGCCGTGTAGGCGCACCCGACGCCAATGGCGAGCACCAGCCACATGAGGCTCCAAAACTCGCTGTCGCGCCGGAAACGCGTCTGGTCTGATGCGTAGCCGAAGATGACAATGACCTTGGCAAACAGCCACGCCTGGATGGGGATGGCCGCGCCCGCGCACGCCGCCGCCAGAATCATCAGGAGCATTATGTGCCAGTGGCTGCGCGTCTCGTAAAAGAAGCGCCCAAAGCTATCAAAAAAGCCGCGATTCTTTTGCTCTTCCTTTTCAGCAGCAGCAGCAGCAGCAGCAACAACAACTTGAGCCTCTTTTGCGCCTCTGCTCTTTCCACGCGTCAAATTCGCAACATCCACCAGCTCCCCCTCTCCCGCCTCCCCCTCCTCCTCCTCCTCTTCCGCCACCACACCCTCACCCGCGTCGGCGGCCTCGCCGAGCGAGATGGACTGAGCATTGACCAGGCCCGCGTAGACGCCGCCTTGCACGCCCAAAAGGCTCTCGTGCGTGCCCGTCTCGACCACGCGGCCCCGTTTCAGGACGACAATGGCGTCGGCCTGCTTAATGGTGGAGAGCCGGTGCGCAATGGTGACGGTGGTGCGGTTCCGGGCGACGCGGTCGAGGGCGGCCTGGACAATTCGTTCGCCGCGCACGTCAATGGCGCTGGTGGCCTCGTCAAAGATGAGAATCTTGGGCTGGCGCACAATGGAGCGCGCAATGGCGATGCGCTGCCGCTGGCCGCCCGAGAGCTTGGCGCCGCCGTCGCCGACGGTCGTGTCGTAGCCCTGTTCCCGTCATGGGCACGGTTAGCAAAAGGACATTGTTGTTCTGAAAAGAGATGCAAAAAAACGCACCTGTGGTAGCTTATCGATGAATTCGTCTGCAAAGGCCTCTTTACAGGCCGCCTTGACCATTTCACGCTTCTTGTCCTCGGGCTCATGTTCCCACTGCGTACCAACAAGGCCATTGCTCACATTGACGTATATCGTCTCGTTGAACAGAAACGGCTCCTGCTGGACGAGGCCAATTTGAGAGCGCCACCATTTGACGTTGATTTCATCGATAGAGTGACCGCAGGTAGTAACCCGGCCTGATAGGGCGATTGGAGGCCCTGACTGAGCATCTAGTTCAGCCTGGGCTGCGGCGGCCTCCTCCTCGGTAGGCTCGTCCTCGTCACTGTCGTTTTTCTTCTTGCTCTTCTTCTCAACAGCCTTGGCCACTACATGCTGCTCTTTGAGCGAGTACCAGCGCTCAATGAGGCCAACAATGGTACTCTTTCCTGAGCCAGAAGGCCCGACAATCGCGGTTGTCTTGCCCGCCTCGAGGCGCAGACTCAAATTATCCAGGACCTTGACATGCGGACGGCTTGGATACGCAAAGGTGACGTCTTCGAGTATGATGTCTTGATCAGCGGTAACATCGGGGACAACAAGGTGGCCGGGGTCCGGGCGAGGCGCGTCAATGACGGTAAAGAATTGGCAGGCGGCGACGGTCGCTTTGCCAACGGCGAGCAGCGGAGTGGATGTGCGCTCCAGGGAAAAGAGAAGCATCATGATGGAGAATAAGACGCTACAATGATCAGTATCAAGGATGATCAAACTATCCGGGCATACTCACACGATGATGGTGCCGACGTCTTTGACAGTGCCCTCGAGGAAGGCCTTGGCGCCATACCAAAACGACAAGCTAAATGCGGCGAATATACCAAAGAACTATATAAGCAAGGTTAGATATTGATGAGATGAGAGGGTAAAGAATCCGTACAACAAAACCGAATTGCAGCGCAATTAATGGACTAGTGCGCTGCGCATTCTTTCGCGATTCTTCAATCACGGCGGCGTATTTATTGGCGATGCGCATCTCTGCTCCGCAGGCCATGATCATGCGGATGCTGCTCAGCGTTTCACTCGCAATGGCATTGGATTTGGCCTCGAGCTAACGCAAATATGATTAGCTGCTGTGCACCCGTTGTCCATGTTTCGAGCTCCAATAGATACCTTGCTTGCGCGGCCTTGTCCCTTGACAATGAGAGGCAGCAGTACGCCAATCGTCAACATGATGAAGACGAGGGCCGACATTGTAACCAGCGTGAGCCGCCAGCTGTAGATAAAGGCCACCACGACCGCCGCCACCATTGTCGCGTTAAACTCGATAAAGGTGCCGAGCTTCTCCGAGATGCCGAGCTGAAGCGTGTTGCTCGTGGTTGTGATTGTGCCCGTGGCGAAGCCGGGAGGCATCGAGTCAAAGACGTGGATGCTCTGGGCAAAGAGGGCCTGCAGAAAGTGAAGGCGAATGGCCGAGGAGATGCGAATGCCAATCATGCGAAAGGCAAACTGTTGGCAAAAAAAATAAAATTGGTCAGTTTGTTCGCGGAGAATTTTCAGTCAGTCCAAAGGTGGGCAAGGCAGCAGCAGCGTACTTTGTTAATGTAGTTGAGAAACAGCCGTCCGAGAAATAGGCCAAGCATGTATAAACTGGGTTTCTTTTGGGTCAAATCAGCCGTTCAACTTGTTTTTGTGACAAAAAAAAAAGAAGGCTTACGATAGCTCTTGCAGCGTCGAGCTGAATTTCTCGGGAGACAGGGTGCCAGAGCCAGCAAAGTCTGTGAATTGGCTGGTGAAGCGGCCTGATTTGTAAATTCAAAAAAAAGTCAATGACTGGACTTTTTCTGGTGATGATTTTGGTTTTGGGGGTAATAGCAAGTACCAAAGACAACGTTGAGCAGCGGCAGTGTGACGCCAGCGCCAATAGAGGCCAGAGAGCCGAGGGCATACGCAACAAAATCCCATTTGGTGGCATACTTGAAGACTCTCTACAAAAAAGGAGCGCGCAAGAGTTAGTTGACGACAAGCCATTCTTGCACAGCAAAAAAAAAAAGAAAAGGCGTACCAGAAAATCATGAAATGTGGCCTCGCGCTGAGGCCGCACCCGACTCGTCACTTCTTTTCCATGGTCCTTGTTCTTTTCCTCGTCCAGCGGCGGCGAGTCCCTTTTGTCTTGAGCCATTCCTGGCGAAATGTCCTTTTTTTTTTTTCTTTTAATATGTAGACGACATTTGCTGCGCGATAAAGAGGAAAACCCGGCGTCTAAACGGCTTTCACAGCCTCTTTATTAAAACAAACAAAAAAGTCGACGGACTCCCGGCCGACCACAAGGCTCCGAGAGGCAGCAGCACGAGGTTCAGCTGCCATGGCACTAACACGTCAACGCTTTGAGCCCAGCCCACTAATTATAATCTTGTTGCCTCGATGCGAGGAATACGGCTTAGCATTTTAGCGGAGCATTCTTCTCATCAACGTTAGATGAGACTGCGTGGGTGCCTGTGCCCCGATATTCTAGGCATCAAGGTTTCGCCCGCTAACTCTAACTTCTAGTCTGTCGGGGGCATTGTCAGCAGGTGTCATATTTTTAGGCTGCAAGTCATTGGAGGGACTTTACCTACTCAGCCGTTATCGCGATGGGGGCTCAATCACGTCTTATCCTCAGGCACGCAATGCCACTCAGCCCTGCGTGGCTTACATCTCGTGGTTTGGGGGATTTTTTTTTCTTCTTTCCTAATCGGTTTGGCGGTTGTCAGACACGACGCAAATCGCCAGACGTCGAGTCACTCAACCAGCTGTGCAGCTTGGCAGTACCACCATCCACCTACCTCTCTCACCCCCGAGGCTTCAACGCCTAGAGCCCGACCCGATCGATAAATGTAAACAGTTTTGATTGCCAATCCACAAACAAGGTAAGGTCAGCACGGGTAAATTAGGGGCCATTATTACAATTACCTCCAATACTGTTCCCTCTAATACCCGACGCCTAGAAAATCCCCCGCATGTGGGCCAAATTCTCCATCTCTAGCTCAACGGTTGCAAGACGCCACTTGATTGAGTTTTCACGGGTAGAGTTTAAAGAAACGAAATATCCAATGAAAATTCAATTGATCCATCCTCATTTTCCCCAATTAGCCATTCCACATGTCCATGAGCATCAACCGTCGGACAGCAAACGGCGCCAGACCGTTACATTGAATAGTGGAGAGCTCCCCTAAAACAGATGGCGGGGTAGCTTCCTCTCTCCTCAGCTCCTGCTTTTCCTTATGCCCTTCATCTTGATTCAAAAGCCAGCCATCATGTTATCTCGGCTGCTTTTCTAATCCTGGTCAACGACCTTTGTTCTCGTTCCGCCGGCCTTTTTTTTCTCGCACAAAAGCATCTCGCTATTACCGCCCTGCTCCTGGAGAGTCAGCCCACCAATCAGCCCAACCCAAACAACCAACCAACCAGCCAACCTCACCAGCAGCCATGGCCGCCTCGGACCAGCAGCTCGTCCTCCCCATCATCGACTCCCACATCCATCTGTACCCCTCGTCCGAGCTCGACACCCTCGCCTGGACGCACCCCGAGCACCCGCTCCACGGGCAGCGCTCCCTCGAGCAGTACAAGGCCGACACCCAGACAGCCCCGTCCCTGCTCGGCTTCGTCCTTGTCGAGGCGGACCGCAAGCACGACCTCGCCAGCCCTGACGGCGCCTCCGGATGGGCCGCGCCCCTGCAAGAGGTCCGCTGGGCCCGCCGCATAGCCCTCGGCGAGCCCCGCGACGGCGAGGGCCACACCGCCGACGACAAGAAGCTCTGTCTCGGCATCATCCCCTGGGCGCCGCTCCCCAGCGGGCCAGCCGTGCTCGAGAGGTACCTAAAAAAGGTCGAGGAGGAGGCGGGCGACGCCTGGCCCAAGGTCAAGGGGTTTCGGTACTTGCTGCAGGATAAGCCCAACGGCACCATGCTGGAGCAGGACTTTGTGGATAGTCTAAAGCTGCTCGGCCGTCGAGGCTTTGTGTTTGAGGTTGGCGTGGATCACCACCGTCGCGGACGGAAACAGCTGGATGAGTTGATTGAGCTCGTGGACCGCGTGCACGACGGCGTACCAGAAGATGAAAAGGTTAAACTCGTTATTAGTACGTTGATCCTATCTCTCTTTCTTTCTCTCTCTCTCTC